GCTGGGGTAAAAATTAACTTGAAAATGGCTGCCAAAGTTTGGTGACTTCTTTAGCTCGAGAGTCCTGGGCAACAAAAAATTTACAATTATTTTGCCTTTGATTAACATTTTTCATGAAAACCCACGCAGAAATGTGTTTTAAATGGACGTATAAGGTAATGAACCAAAATTTTAAAAATTTAATAAAAATGACTAAACCAGGGGAAAATGCTGTTTTCTTTGATTTCACTAACTTGACGAGCGCCTGATTTCTCCACGATGCCTCCCATTTGTTGCTGTCTAGGACCTGGCTGCCGAGGACTTCACTCTGGCTGACCGCAGAGAGCTCACCAAGGCCGTGTACAGTCAGCTGATGGCGGCCCTGATGAAGATTCTGCGCAAACTTGACCTTGAGGCAACTGTGGCCGACAGCGCGGTATGTTTTTACGTTTTTCTCTGTTCTATATCTGTCTGTAGAGGGTGCGGTGGCAGAGTGGTTAGTGAGCTCATCTCCAAAGCGGAAAGTCCGGGTTCGAGCCTTGGTTAGAACATCGATTTTTTTCGCCCCTCCCCCATCCTACCCACCCTGTAGTAATGGGTACCTGACTTTGAGTTGGGGAAGTAAAGGCGGTGTGGAAAGGAACTGGCCACCCTACCACAATATCCCGTAGGCCCAGGAAGTTGTCTCACTTACAAGGCAATCCTCAATGTCCGGATCGGATGCGGGAACAACTTGCTTTTTACATCTATCTGTATAATTTGCATTCATGTATCGAGGAATTTTGGTTAAAACTCCACTCAAGCTTTATCTCGATGCAACTTTTTGCCAATAGTGAGGTTTTTAAAAATGTTTTTGTCTGTTATATATCTGTCTGTATTTGCATTCATGTGGCGAGGAATTTCGGTAAAGAGTTCACTCAAGCTTGATCTCGAGGCAACTGGATGACAGTGTGGATTGAGTTTTTGTCTGTTCTGTCTGTCTTTCATGTATCTTGGAATTTGTTTCTCCCTCTGTTGCTATACTCTAGCCTACAGGTAATGACAACTTTTGCATGAAGATCCTTCAACCCTTACAGCCTGCGCTACTCCACAGCTGTGGGTGGTTGGCGGGTGTTCTGGAATGGTTTGCTCCTTCTTGCCTATCAAACATCTGTCATTCGTGTCTCTCCTTCTTATTTTTTGTTGTTGTGTTTGTTACTGTCTTGTAACACCTCTAATCTCCGGCACTTATATGACTTAATTGTGTTTCAAGTGTCGAGAAAGGCTTACCAAAAAATTTAATTATGTTCTGTATTTATGTATGTATAATAAATGTGAAGCTGTTGCAAACCAAATTTCGCCAGAATTTTTATTCTTCTATGTATTTGTTTACTCTTTTGTAACGCCTCTAATCTTCAGCACTTATATGACCTTATTGTGTCGCAAATTTTTATCGGTTTGTTACTCTTTTGTAACCCCTTTAATCTTTGGCATTTATTTGACCTTTTCGTATTACAAGTGACATAAGACACTTACTGTGGGTGGTTGGCGGATGCTCTGGTGTGGTTTGCTCCTTTTTGCCTATCAAACATCTGTCGTCCTTATCTCTCCTCCTTTTTTATGTATGTTACCCTCTTGTAACAGCTCAAATCTTCGGCACTTACATGACCTTATTGTGTTGCAAGTGCTGTACAACTCTTACTAAAATAAAAGCTAAAACACATACAAAAACTACAACAATCCACAGCTGGAAGGAGATGCGGAGATGGAGGAGAGGGAGGTTCTGTCGGCTGACCCGACCTACGGAGTCATCGCCAAGAAACCCAAAGACTTCTACGTCTTCATCAATCTCGTCGATTTCTGCAAGTGAGTTGTCTTCAAGTCTTTTTTTTTTTCCCCCCCAGGGCAGTGCCAGTGACTGAAGTGTCTTTAGACCATTCCCAAAGGGGAAATATTAACGTGTTGTATGCACAGTAGAATTGTAAATGGGCTGATTTATCAATGTCATGCTCATACTGTGCCGGAACAACAAAGGGGGAACTGCTGCTTCTTCTTTCCTCATCCTATCGGCATTTTTCCTCTACTTCTTTTGTAGGTTTGTCACTCTCTTGTCTACTGCTATTTCCGGGGTGCTTTGATAGTCGCAGCAGACTTTGTGCTGTTGAGGCTAGAGAGGTGAGCAGAGTAAGCCTGGTTCCCCGTTTAGATTTCTCTGTTGACATCCGCCCTCCGACGCTCGTATGAACTTATGCAGTTGCGAGTGCTGTAAAACCTTACCAAAACTAAAACTTAAAAAAAATAAAATTTCTGGCTTGAAAGTCAGTGAGATATAGAGATGACATTGTCTAAGATGGCTCCCCATTGTTGAGGAGAAAAATGATTGTCTTAGACAGGTGGTTGTCCTGTGTAGTGTCATTATTACCAAAAATGGCATGGTGGCAAGTGGGAAGTGGGAAGTGGTTGCGTTTTTTAAAAACAAATTATTGTCTTGGACAGGTTGCAGTTGAAGCAGGTTTTGGCTGTTTGCCTATGATAGAGATGGAGAGACACAGATAGATAAGATAAGATACATCTTTATTGTCCAGATCCTGGCACATTGGTTTGGTGTTTCACCAAGTGTATACACACACACACACAACGCACATAACACACACGCACACACACACACACACACACACACACACACACACACATATACGTGCGCGCGCGCACCCACGCTCACACACATGCACACACACGTGGCTTACAATCACATGCATAATATAAACGAGCAGCAATATAAACAATTTAGGTACATGCTCAATGTTATTTTGATGCATGCTCTAAGGTCGTAAGTATACTTGGTGGGACGAGAGAGTTTACTGTGAGAATAGACACCTGTCAGTGACTGATCTTGTTACGTTGTTGTCGATCCAGCAACAGCTGATGAGTTACTGACGCCAACCTCTTTTTTTTCTCTTTGAGGAAAATTGGTTTTCAATAGCGTGTCCACTTACTTACACAATAGCATGAAATATCGGGATGGTACAAAGCGAACAATACTTTTTAACCCTATCTGTACGCCCTGGGGTCATTTTGTACCCCCGGGATTGTATTCTTTGCATTTTAGAATACTTCTAGTACGAAGATCTCTTTGAAACTTTCAGTATTTTTCAAAAAATCATTTTGACAGACTGCCATGCCAAGCGTATGGATCGGATTAATGAGTAAATTCCCTCTTTGGAAAGTGGTGACACAGAGTTCTCCACGTCGTTTGGATAAGATAGTAAAGCTAGACGTACGGATAGGGTTAATCAATTATAAAACCTGTGTTGAATTATGATCCCTCCTCACTACGACACTCATATGTGTCACGACGCCGTGGACTCAGGCGCTCGTAAATTTGGGGACATGTGGAGTTATTGGTATCATCTTAATGCTTGTCCATTTGCCCTGCTTTTGATGAAAACAATATCTGTTTATCTTGGGTACAAGTCAAGATATTGGTGATTGAAGGAGGTGGAGGTCGCCTGTTTTCAGAGGTAAAATTAGTGGGAAAATGGCTGCTAAAGTTGAGTTATTTCCTTGGCTTGAGAGCTCGTGGAAACTGAAAATTTACGTCTTTCATGCCTAAGATCAACGTTTTTCACTACAATCTACACCGAAATATGTTCTTCAAAGGTCATGAAAGGTGTTGAGCCGAAAAACAAATATTCGATAAAAATTCCCAAACGTGTGGAAAAATGCCAGTTTCTTGACTTTGATTACTTTGACGAGGGCCTGATTTCACCACGCTGCCTCACATATGTTTACCATAGTTATTGTTGTCGACTGGAAAAAAAAGTGTATTTGAGGCGTAGGAATAATTTTTTCAAATGGTGTATTTTTGAGCACCGAACAGAGTACTTCGTGCAACTGAATGCTTCCCAGATTTAGTGTCTGTCTGGGCAATAAGCTGTGGAGCGTATGGAGTCGACTTTTCTACGGGGACATGCCCTATAAGCCTGCAACTTGTTATCATTATTGTTGTTGTTGTTGTTGTTGTTATGATTATTACTATTATCATATTGTTATAACTCTTAACCATTATTTTCATAATTATTATTATTATTATTATTATCGTTTTTATTATTATTATTATTATTATATTATTATTGTTATTATTATTATTATTATTATTATTGCTGTTGTTATTAATAGTACCATTATTGCTGTTGTTGTTTTTGTTGTTATTATTAGTATGATTATTGCTCCTGTTATTGTTATGACTATCATCATCGCTGTTGTTATTATTGTTGATTTTATTTTTGTTGCTGTTATCGTTATTGCTCTTGTTGCTGTTATTATTATTGCTGTTGCTGTTATTATCCTAGGGACGTGCTGGTGACAAGCCATTGGAACCTGTTTGAGGACTGGGTGTACACCTTCGCTCATACCCTCGTTGTCATGTCAACCAGGTAGGAATTCTTTAACTTCTCTGTATGCTATCTCCGAGGGGGGGTAAACCCACCTCTTTCGGTACGAAATCTAAAATTGGCATATACGTAGCTGAATTGATATTTAAATCAAAACAAGTGGAATTATTTCGGTATTTTTTCATCTACCGAATGAACTCCTCGGGGAAAGAGACCTTTTTACGGCAGTCGCCAAAAAATAAATTTGACGTAGAAGTTGCTGTAAAGGAATATATACGGTTCAGTGCCTAAGGGCTCATACTCAGATTGTCATCGAATCGAAAAAGATGGAATGAAATATGAGATACCTAGCAGTTTACGGAAACGTCTCCTTTGTTTTCGACGTGGTTAAAATATTTTTCTTTTCAGGCATCCTTTGGTCAGTGGCTTCTACAGACTATTGTCAGTGACCATGACCTTGGCGGACAAGTTGAGCTATTTCAAGGTTTGTAAAAAAAAATTTAAAAATATGAACGAGACTTGTTATAATATACCTTCTTCAAAAACAAAAAAATAAAGCGAACTGCTTTTATTTACTATGGATACTCTGGTGTGGTTTGCTCCGTCTTTCCTGTCAAACATCTATAGTCCTTATCTCTCCTACTTCTTTTTCGTGTATGTTACTGTCTTGTAACACATCTATTCTTTGGCATGTATATGACCTTATTGTGTTGCAAGTGCTGTTAAACTTTTACGAAAACTAAAACTTTTATTTACTATTGAGCTGTCTTCTTAATTAAACTGTGTGTGTGTGTGGGGGGGGGGGGAGGTTGTGGGATGGGAGGGGAAAAAAGAGCGAGGCGGAGTGGGCAGAAGTTTGTTTGGATTATAAAAAAAACTGATTTATAAATTATCAATTTCAAAATGCCACCACTATCTACTACTACTTTTTTCACCCCCAGGCCTTTGACAGCCAGTCCCAGAAGTCTCCCAGACTGGAGGAGAGTATGGACATAGGAGAGGGTGGGGTCGCGACAGGGGCGGGGCAGGAAGTGGAGGTGACCTTTCACCTCATCAAGAAGTTCTCCAAAGAGGTAAAGGAAAAAAAAAAACATGTGCAAAACTGTATAGGTTGAACGCCCCTTCCAACCTCCCAACACCATGAGGTAATTTAAGAGGACGGACTACTGAAGTTAATAATAATAATCGTTAGTTTATTTCTTTGTTTGGCGCTTGCTCTAGACCCCCCCCCCCCGGCTGTCCTGAGGGGCACGGACACTACCCTCATTCCCAACTAACTCCTCGCATAGACTGACCAGAAAACACTTTGTGCATCTGATAGCCTGTAACAATGTGCATTTATAGGATTTTTTTCCAAAATGTCGCTCAGCGGGTTTTTTCACCTCTGCCCCTCAATTCCACTGACGTCATCAGGTGCTGGTGCGTATGAAGCAGTATCGCAACGAACTCCTGGCCTCCTGTCTCACGCTGATCCTCTCCCTGCCCAAGGAAATCATCGTGGATCAGATGTCCTCCGTGGTACCCGCCATACAGGTAATCATAATAATATTAATAATAATAATAATGATGATGATGATGATGATATATATGGCTCTTTTCGTCTATTCAGATGGTCAATTTTGCTTAAGATGGTCTCAAGGTTGTCTTCATGCAGCTTCTTTCATGGCTAATTCTTCCTATGTTTGGAGCGCAGATTCTGTCTCAGTGCTTGCATGTCAGCGTCGTAGATTGATGATAATGATGTGATGATGATAATGATAATAATGATAGCTAGTGTAGTAATTAGATCTAACGTTATTTTTTTGTATTTTCCTGATGAAGCCCGTGGTTGGGCGAAACGTTGAACCTTTATAAAATTTTCTTGGGAATTCTACAAGTCTCAACCCTTTTTTTATTCTCTGCTGTTTACGATAATGATAATGATGATGATGATAATAATGATAATAATAATGATGACAATAATACTGATGACGATAAGTATCTCTGTTGAATAAGGGCTATGTTCAGAAGTTTGAATACATAATTCTTGTGTCTTGTTTGAGGCATCGAGTAATACTATATTGTGATTTCTCAAGTGATCCAGCCTATAGCGTTGTCGGCAGTTTTACTGCTGTGCGTTATGAAGAGTCTACATACCAAGAGGGGCCACTTCTCTCTTTGAGCCAATTAAAAAAGTGTCCTCAAAATTCGGTGGCGCCCTCTTCGCAAAAGCGCACCTTTTTCGAACAGAGTTATCCTATAAATTCCGGAAGAACGCTTTTTATAAATGGTTACGCTGACAAAAAAACTTCTTCCGGAGGAAAGGGTGATTGTTTTCTTCGTTTAATTTGACTTTAGAATGAAAAGCTAGAGGTCATTAAAATAAAAAAACCCAACTAAAACTCCACACTGAACGAACCCGAACTGCTGATGAACAGCAGTCGATCTGCGCACGCAAGGAGGTGCTATTCCTATTCTTCTTCTGGAAAAACGAAAGAGAGCTTCAAAACAGACTGCAGCGCCATCTGAAGCAAAGAGCGTACTTCCGGCGGACACTTTTTTGGCTGAGTGAGTGGCCCATCTTGTTATGTACTATCTTTGGCGTTATGAAGAGGAGAGTGTTCATATACCGTATCTTTCTTGACCTCACAGCCGTATCATACTTAAAATCACAGGAAAGTGTTCATATGCCGAATCATCCGTATCATACTTCACCTCTTAGGAAAGTGTTCATATGCGTATCATACTTGACCTCACAAGAAAGTGTTCATATGCGATGCCATATTTGACCTCACAGGCGTATCATACTTGATCTCACAGGAAAGTGTTCATATGCCGTGACCTCACAGGAAAGCGTTCATATCATCCGTATCGTACTTGACCTCACAGCCGTGCCATACATAACCTCTCAGGAAAATGTTCATATGCGTATCATACTTGACCTCACAAGAAAATGTTCATATGACGTGATTTCACAGGAAAGTGTTCATATGCCGTATCATCTGTATCATACTTGACCTCACAGCCGTATCATACTTGACCTCACAGATGTATGATACTTGACCTCACAGGTGACCTTCACCCTGGGTCTGAGTTACCTCCCCCTGGCTGAGGTGGGCCTTCAGGCTTTGGAGTCGTGGTTTCGACAGCTCCCTGCGTCGGTGCTAGAGGCGCACTACACCAGTATTCTCCCCTACCTGGACCCCTACCTGAGAACAGACGATCTGGGTTAGTGGGTGCTTGGCGGGTGCACTGGTGTGGTTTGCTCCTTCTTTCCTATCAAACATCTATCATCCTTATCTCTCCTCCTGCTTTTTTTGTGTGTTACTTTCATATAACACCTCTAATTTTTATGACCTATTAGGGCTGTAAGGGCCGTAAAAACTTAAAATTTTTATAAAGATCTGGGTTAGCAACTCTCCCCTGCCTTTTTTCCCCCCCTGCATTTTTTTCCCGTATCTTCATTTTCATTGTTCTGAGAGTTTGTTGGGGCCTTGTTGTTTGAACAGGTGCTGAAGATGTTGTCAAGGAAACGACTGTCGTGGTGAGCGCGAAGAAGTCGAGCAGGAGGAGCAAGGCTCCCATCAGACTCATCAAAAACGCTCAGTCTGCGGACGACAAGGTCAGAAGTTTGCGCGGGATTTTGTGGAAGATTACGTTTTGAATCCTGTTTTTGGAAATCATATGTGAGGCATCGTGGTGAGATCGGGCGTTCGTCAAAATATTGAAATCAAAGCAAAAGTTTCTCCCCCCCTCCCCCCCTCCCCCCCCTACAATTTGGCAATTTTTATCAAAATTGTGTTTTTTAGCTCAACACATTTTATGTCCATATAAAAGCACATTTGCGTGTGATTTTTACTGACAGACGTTGATTAATGGCACAAAATATGTGAATTTTCAGTAAAAATCAACACAGAAATGTGTTCTAAAATGGGCGTGAAAGGTGTTGAGCCAAAAAACGAAAATTGGATAAAAATTGACAAGCCTGCCGAAAAATGCCAGTTTCTTCAGTTTGATTATTTTGACGAGCACCTGATTTCACCACGCTGCCTCTCATATTATTCTTATGCTTTTCAGAAATGTTTGAAATTCCTACAACAAACATCCTGTGGAGTGAGATCTTCTTCTACATCATACCGTCTCAAACAATAGTTGTAAAGTGCGCAGATCATGCTTTAGAGCGTAGTTATGCGCTATATGGTCGCTTTTAAGGATAGGCGGGCTAACCCAGATTTCGGAGGGTTTCCAGAAATCTTGACCTACACCAAAAGTAGGCATTGCGCTACCTGTAGGAGAAGTTTAGTTTCATCTGGTGTGTGTATTTATTTCGTTATAGAGAAAACTCTCTTTGTCTTTTAAAGAAACTGAACAAGGGTCAAAAACTTTTCCTGAGATTTTCTCAAAACTGCATTTCGGGATAGTCCACGTGTGCTTAAAAGCAACCATATATAAATGCAGTTTTTATTATTATTGAAAGTGCTTGGAAACGGTTGCAGAAATATTTTTCACCTTGGCTTGATTAGAACTCTTTGATTTCATGCATGAGGTGATATTTTCTGTATCTAAGGCGTCAGAATGTTGCTGTTCTGAGTTGAAAATTTTGAAAACTGCTTTCAAAATATTTTCTGAAAAGTTGTCTGTCATGTTTTTTTTCAAAGTATTTTGTTTAACACAAAATGTATTTTTTCAAAGTTTTAAAATTATGTTCTTTTTCTTGCTTATTCCATCAGTTTATTTTGCCGTTTTCCCCTGAAAGAATTTCTTTTTGTTATATCCACCTCACCACAAGGTGTCTGTGGGTCTTTGTGTCGTCTCGTGGTGTTTGTTGTAAAAACATGTATGGGTGGTCGGCGGGTGCTCTGGTGTTTTTTTCTTCTCCTTCTTTGCCATGAGTGGGTGGTTTGCGTGTGCCCTTAAGTGGTTTGTTCCTTCTTTCCTATCAAATATCTCATCGTTCTTATCTCCTCTCCTTTTTTGTGTTTGTTACTTTCTTGCAACACCTGTTATCTTCAGAAACTTATATGACATAATTGATTTGCAAGTGCTGTAAAATTCAACAATGGGTGGTTGGCGGGTGCTCAGGTGTGGTTTGCTCCTGCTTTCCTATTAAAGATCTATCGCCCTGATCTCCCCTCCTTCTTTTTTGTGTTTGTTACTCTCTTGTAACACTTCTAATCTTCAACACTTGTGTGATGTAATGGTGTTGCAAGTGCCGTAAAACTCTTACTAAAAAAACCTCAACTCTCTTACTAAAACTTAAAAACAAGATTTGTTTCATCTTTTCGTTGTTTTTATATTCTTTTTTTTCTTTCTTTCTTTCTTTCTTTCCATCTATTTGTCCAGGGAAGCAAGTCCCAGCTGTCGCAGGTCAAGCAGCGTATCTTGTATTTTCTGGGCTCCTTGGGAGGCCAGGTGAACCACACTCTGCAGGACCGAGCAGACGCCGACATCAGCAATGAGGCGGTGGCCTGGGACTCACAGAAACACCTACGCTTTGACGTGCCTTTCTTTGACATGAAGCCCGTTATTTTCTTTGGTAAGCAAGTTGTCGTCTGTGTTGGCCTCTCACAAGTCTGTTTTCAAAAACACTTACATTTTTTCAAAGAATGTTTTCAAAAACTCTTACATTTTTTTCTAAGAATGTTTTCAAAAACTCTTACATTTTTTCAAAGAATGTTTTCGAAAACTCTTACATTTATCAAAAAGAATGTTTCAAAAACACATACATGTATCAAAAAGAATGTTTTCAAAAACACATTTTTTCAAAGAATGTTAAAAAGTTAATTACAATTCCTGCTCTTGACATGAAGACAGTCATTTACTTTGGTATACAGGCCATCTGTGTTGGTCAATCACCAGTCTGTTTTCAAAAACACTTTCATTCTAAAAAATAGATATTTGAAAAAGATTAATTACAATTCCTGCACTATGAGATAGATTAGTCCTGTCCTTTATTTTTGTAAGGAAGCCGTCTGTATTTGGCTGCCCTAGAATTACAAAGTTCTATTTGTGAAACTCAAAAGTTTTGATGTCAAATTTCTCAAAATGTGCTCAGTACCTGGTTTTGAGGAAATTTGACGTCAAAACTTTTGAGTTTCACATCATGTCAAGGTTTTTTTTCAAAACCCAATTCTATGAATATCTGGATAACGACTCTGAATAATCTTTCAATTTTGATAGAGCAAATAGAACGTTTGATTTCTGACCTCATTGGCTTAGTAACTCAAAACGGCCAAAATGTCTGATAGAACTGAACATTTTTTTTCAGTAGACGTTTTACGGCGCTCGCAACTGTATAAGGTCATATGAGCACCAGAAGATTAGAGGTGTTACAAGAGAGTAACAAACATAAAAAAGAAGAAGGGGAGATAAGGACGATAGATGTTCGATAGAAAAGAAGAAGCAAACCACACCAGAGCACCCGCCAACCACCCACTGATAGAACTTTGTAATTCTAGTGTAGCGATTGGTCAACCGCAAGTCTGTTTTCAAAAACACATTTTAAAAACAAAAATTATTTAAATAAAAAAAAAAAGACAGTTCCTGCTCTTTGACGTGAAGCCAGTCTTTTATTCTGGTAAGGAGACTGTCTGTATTTGTCAGTCACAAGTGTTTTTAAAAACGCTTAGTCTATAGGCCATTCCCAAAGGGGGGACATTAACATCTCGAGTTCTTATGCACAGTAGAATTGTAATTGTAAATGGGCTGATTCATCAATGTCACGCTCATAACTGTGCCTGAATTGCAACAGGGAACTGCTGCTTTTTCGTTCCTAATCCTTACTATCGTCATTTTTCCTCTACTTCTTTTGTATGTTTGTCACACTCTTGTGACCCGCTATTTCCGGGGTGCCTTGATAGTGGAAGCAGACTTATTGCTGTTGAAGCAAGAGTGGTGAGCAGAGTAAGTCTGATTCCCTGAAAGGACTTGGGCTCATATGACCTTATGCAGTTGCGAGCGCTGTAAAACCTCTACTAAAACAAATAACATTTATGAAAAAAAGAAAAAAAGAAAAAAGAAAAAGACCAATTGCTGCTCTTCCAGATCCATTCCTCCCTCACGTGGTCAAGCTGGCCCAGCAGTCAAGTGACCGGCAGACGAAAGTGGCTGCCTGCGAGCTCCTGCACTCCCTGGTGCTGTACGCCCTGGGCCGAGGGGCGCAGCTGCCCGGGGACAGGCAGAACAAGTACCCCATGGAGAGGCTGTACCGCAAACTGTTCCCTCCCCTGTTTGCCTTAGCCTGCGATGTGGAGCAGGTACGTCTCACGTATACTGTCGTGTTAAACCCATGTATATTGTCACACTTAATCCATGTATAATGTCACTCGAAACCCACGTATATTGTCACACTAAACCCGTGTAAACCATTTTTAGATTTAGTACCAAAAAAGGAGCCCGGTGTAGTGTGTTTGCCCCCTACGGAGATGAAAAGTTAAACTGTTGAAGGTGCTAGAGGCTGTACCTGAAGCTGTGCCCTCCCTTGTTTGCCTTAGCCTGCCATGTGGAGCAAGTATGTTGATGGGGGGGGTGTAAAAATTGCCTACACTCGTTTTGGAAAAATTTGTGTTCTCAGAATTCTGTCCAAATTTGGGAAAGAATTCCGGGGCAGACGGTTAACTCAAATTTTGTGGGTGGTTGGCGGGTGCTCTGGTGTGTTTGCTCTTTGTTTTCTATCATCAAACAACTATCGTCTTTATCTCTCCTCCTCCTTTTTTGTGTTTGTTACTCTCTTGTAACACCTCCCTCTAATCTTCGGCACTTATATGACCTTATTGTGTTGCAAGTGCGGTAAAACTCTTACTAGAACTAAAACTAAAACTAACTCAAATGAACACGTGCAATGCTGTTCTCCACAGGTGTGCAAAGACTTGTTCGAACCTCTTGTCATGCAGCTCATTCATTGGTTCACTAGCAACAAGATGTCGGAGAGCCCTGAGACGATGGCCCTGCTGGACTGTATCTACGTAAGTCTCGTTTCTTTTTAAATTTGTCAGTTATAGTGAGAGTTTAGGTGAAGAAATGGAAATGGATTGGGCACACCCTGAGGAGACCCCTGACAAGCATCATCAGACAGGCTTTGACGTGGAGTCCACAAGGAAAACGTAAGAAGGGAAGACCAAAGATGACATGGAGGCGAACGGTACAAACGAAAATGGAAAAGGCAGGGACATCATGGAAACAGATAGAAAAGGAAGCTCAAGACAGGACAGGCTTGTTGGAGAAATGTTTTTGATGGTCTATGCTCTGCTGGGAGTTAAAAAAAGGGCAAGAGAGAGAGTGAGAGTTTTACAGTTTTTGCAACACAAATAGGTCTTGTAAGTGCCGAGGACAAGTTGTGTTACTAGAGTGTAGGGTCGTCAGTTTTAGTAAGAGTTTTATAGCTTTTACAACTCAAATAGGTCACGTAAGTGCCAAAGACAAGAGATGTTACTAGAGTGTATGATGCCTAGAAAAGAAGGTGGACGGATAAGGAGAATAAATGTTTGATAGGGAAGAAGAAGAAGAGGGGTTACTAGAGTGTAGAATACAAAGAAAAGGTGGTGGACGGATACGGATGTTTGTTACTCTTTTGTTACCCCTCTAATCTTCGGCACTTATATGACCTTATTGTGTTTCAAGTGCCGTAAAACTGTTAATAAAACTAATGAATATTCATGCGTCTGTTTCCCAGGACGGTCTGGTCCAGCCAAGTGACCCCTCGCTGCGAGACTTCAGCGCCCGCTGCCTGCGCGAGTTCCTCAAGTGGTCACTCAAGCAGATCTCTAAAAAGGTTGGCAGGCTGAGAGAGAGAGAGAGAGAGAGAGAGAGAGAGAGAGAGAGAGACTCCTGACAGTAAGATAGACAGGGGAAGGAACAGAGAGGAACGGACAGGAGCAAAGAAACACTAATGTTTTTTCGTGTCCAAAAGTTTACCTTTATACAATTATTTGCAGATTCAA